GTACAGCGGAATTGGGTGAGCTAAATTGTCTGTAGTGAATAAGTGTGTGTGGGTGTTTCCCAGTGATTCATCCTAGTACTTTTAATTTTTAATTGCTGACTTCTATAGCGTGCATTCGTCACATCTTGATTTCACATGTCTCCTGTACTCGTGTTTGACTTGGAGGAGCAGCTCACATGTTGAAACAGCAGAGTTGCATCAATCCGCTCGGCGTCCCAGTGTGTTTCTATTACGGGCTTCATGGGACGGTGGGGGTCTTGTGAAAGGAAGTGCGTGTTGGGAAAATGGAGCAGAGTTTCTCAGAGGTCGCTCCTCTCTTCTGAAGCTGCGGTTGGGCGTCGGGATGTTCAGTTTTCGGGGGTGGAAGTTCAGGGCTGAGGGGATGAAGTGCACCGCTGGGATCTTCAGCCTGGAGGAAATCGGGAGTTAAATGTGATGCGTTTGTTGGGGGTCAGATGGAGCCGCGGAGAGGAAGCGCAGCTTCAATGTGTGGAGGAAAGCGCAGGGGTGTGACGCCGCTCTCTCTCTGCCCCGTGCGCTCCACTCACAGCTGGCTTTTGTTTTTCCCTCAATCCCCCACCTCTTCCACAGAGGAAAACAGCTACTTCTGCTCCCCGGGGGACGCTCTGTTGTTTTAAAGTATTTATGGGTAATGATCAGCCTGTGTGCGTGTGTGTGTGTGCGTGTGTGTGCGTGTGTGTGTGTGTGTGTGTGTGTGTGTGTGTGTGTGTGTGTGTGTGTGTGTGTGTGTGTGTGTGTGTGTGTGTGTGTGTGTGTGTGTGTGTGTGTGTGTGTGTTTGAGTGCTGATGTCGGTGCTGGGCAGCCATTGGCTAATATAAAGCCAGAGTGCAGTATGGGATATCAGTATTTACAGCATTCCTCTTGAGCAAACTCGATTACAGCAATGGAAACACCAAGGTCATTGGTTCAGTTCAGGGAATGTGTGAACTGATTAAATGTATAGCTTCAAGTTATTTGGATAAAAGCACATTTAAACTGCAGATTATTTGGTATTTTTAAGTGATTCTAATATTGAGTCTTTAAAATCAGTAAACATTGCAATTTTCTCTGCACATGTATTAATATATGCATCATTCTGCATCGATTTCAATGTGATTCATTTGAATCAGTTCAGATCTTAAGGTGTTTAAGCCAACTCTTCTCTGATTGGTCAGCTGGCCAAGTTTGTTTTCATTGGTCTGTCCACGTCGGGGATTTAACGCTCATTTCAGTGTTTTTGGATGTCGTTGCATTATGCAAATGAGCTACATTGATCAGCTGGTGTGTGTTTGAGTGCTGATGTCGGTGCAGGGCAGCCATTGGCTAATATAAAGCCAGAGTGCAGTATGGGATATCAGTATTTACAGCATTCCTCTTGAGCAAACTCGATTACAGCAATGGAAACACCAAGGTCATTGGTTCAGTTCAGGGAATGTGTGAACTGATTAAATGTGTACTTGAACACAAGTCACTTTGAATAAAGACACGTTTAAAGAGCTGGTCATGTGGTGTTTTTCAATTCTCCTAATATAGTGTTGAAGTCCCCGACTCTACTTAAATGCAGCTATAAAATCAGAAAACATTGTCATCTTCTCCGAATATGTATTCAGGATATTGTTAGGATAATTTTGCAACGATTTGGGTTGCTAAACCCCTCCCCCTTCTCTAGGAGAACTCTTCTCTGATTGGTCAGCTGGCCAAGTCTGTTTTGATTGATTTTTATTTATTTTTTGTTGGGAATCAAACTGCAATTTTTAGATGTTGATTAGATTATGCAAATGAGCTACTGACTGCAATGTAGGACAGTAGCTGGAAAGATTTAGAAATATTCATCTTTATTTCTATAGCACTTTTACAAATTGTGCGGCAGCACATGAACACAGAAGTTCTAGTGAACTGAAGCTGTGTCAGTCCAGTTCAGTTCAGTGTGGTTTAATATACACTACTGAAAGTCCAAACACTGAAGAGCAAATCCATCCATGCACAGCTCCACAAGTCCCAAACCAAGCAAGCCAGTGGCGACAGTGGAGGAACAAACTTGTGAAAACATCAAAATATTAAATATAGCACAAGTAGCTGAGGGGATTCAGAGACGAATCGGTTGCGAGGGAATAGTTTTGTTAATAAATGCACTATTATGAGGGACGATTATGATACAAAATAAAAACAATCAGTTCAGAACTTAATGCCTGTAAACCCCTCCCCCTTCCCTATGCCAACTCTTCTCTGATTGGTCAGCTCACCAAGTCTGTTTTGATTGGTCTCTCCCTGTGCGGATGATTCATTGTTCTATGACAATACAATATTCCTCATTTCTCCTTTATTCTTTTATTGAGGTAAACTAAATTAACTAAAACTTAAAAACTAAACAGACTAAAATTCAATATAAAAAACTATGTAAAAGACTGATAAAAGCTATAGTCATTAATGGGTACTAAAATAGTACTCATTTAGGATCAACACATGCAGGACAATTGCTGCAATCTACATGCAAAAATGTAATTGATAAAAATAAATCTATTTTTGTAGTCCTGGCCCTGGAAAACTGATGAAAAAACTAATGGATAGAAATGAATATGATAAAGACATGTAGACTCTGTAATCCTCTAATTCTAAAGCTTATAATCATGCATTAAAGCACTGGAACCAGCAAGTGCAACTTACTTGGATAAATAAAAACCTCACAGCCTCAGGGATCTTATCCTGCATGTGTTGGTGAAGATATATTCATCTCTGGATTCAGGTTTTGGCATGGCAGTGAGAAGAGCAGGTCATAAACGTGTCAGCTTTGCATAAGATGAGCTGGCGTTCCTCATGGCAGGCCAGACGCTGTTTAATAGCATCACTTTTTAAATGCTTTAAGGCAAAACTTCTGCTTTATGGGGAAGCTTTAATAACTTGCCTAGTCCTGCTCGGCTGCGTCTCATCCTGCATCTGTACATCACCACTTATGCAAGTCATTTAAGTGATCACAATGACCCAATCCATTTCCAGAGTTTTCCACACATTGAATTATTTGTGTCATAATATCCACACACGCTCTGACTTTTAATTGAAATATGCACATTACATTTGTTTCTCAAACACTGAAGCAAATCAAGCAAAGAGTAATGGCCAAAACCTGTATATAGTCCCATAGTGTAGGTATGTTGATCGTTATCAGACGAAACCCTGAATCATGATTTAAGAGTTAAAGTGAGAGGGACTCCTGCTTAAAGTAGTTTCATTGGTTTGTGTTTGTTTTTCTTTTTTCTTTAATAAGTTGTTAAACTGCCAAAGATTCCTGAATTACCTTTTTGATTACTGAAAAAGTAACCCCATTATATAAAACAAAGGCCATTCATTTATTTTGTTTATAACATTACTAAAAAAAAAAAAAGTATTTAGAATAGTGTTAAATTATTATTTTTATTATTTAATCATTTCAGATTTTGTCAAAATCATTGCAAAAATGTGTGTGTGTGTGTGTGTGTGTGTGTGTATACTGTATAGCGGTTATGTTTACAGTATATTCTTATATTCTATGTATTGTACTAGTCAAAAGTTGGACACAGGAATGAGACAGCCAAAAGTGTTGTTTTGGCTGTACTGTACTGTACTGTACTATAATATGCATATAAAGAATAACACATTATAATAATAAGATATATTGATATCTGTATTTTTTTACTCCCTGATATCCCTATATCTTATGTATAATGAGCTGAAAAACAAACATATATATTATGTTTTTCTGTTCTTTTTCATGCTTTAATATATCATTTTACCTGTTTTTATGTTTTTTTTTACTCATTTTTATTATTCGTTTTTATTATTATTATTATTATTATTGTTTCTTTTATTCTTGTTTATGTAAAGCACTTTGAATTGCCACTGTGTATGAAATGTGCTATATAAATAAACTTGCCTTGCCTTATATTGGACGAGCTCAAACGACAATATTAAGTACATTCCGACACCGATATTCCAATTTTAATTCAATTAAAACAATACTCTGATTAAGAGTGTACCATGTAAACTGCAATTTTTAATTATTTATTTGTTTTATTTACTTATTTATTTTTAAGTCTAGAGTATTAATCGAACTAAACATAATCAAATTATGTGGAGTATGTGAATTTTTAGTGCCATTATTGAAATGCAGTACAGATTCTAATCAAACTCGTGTCCTGTAGGATTTGTTGTAGGCGGGCGCCGTATCAAATTCCATTAAAACTACACTGTTCCAGCAGTTACTCGCATCCAATATCTCATTTATCACAGGGTGCATGCATCAAATGTTCCTTAGTGAGAGTGCCAAAGTCGACAAATTAAGAATGAAACACCAGAAATTACATGAAGGTCCAGAGGAAATGTAGATATCGTTGTGCTGCAATGACGTTAAAGAATCTATGTGCTATAACATGTAAAACGGGATCATGAAAGGAACATTCAAAAAGCAACTCTAAACACCGTCATCATATTATTGTCTTATTCAGACTCACGGGTTTCCGACCCCATGCAGAAAAGCGGATGAAAATGAATGAATATTCAGATTCAGGCAAATGATTTGATCACTGATGTCCATGTAAACGTAGTCACTGTCACAATCAAATCCTTAAATGTATCTTTAACACCCATCATTGTTATTGTTGATTGAATATGTAAGGAATAAATTGATCTAAATCTATAAAATTATTAAAAATAGTCCACATCAGAGGTGGTGAAGCATTCAGCATCCCGGAGTGCATAATTCTGCTTCTCCTCTGATCTCCAGCACAGCTGTGAATCCCCTGTGTTTGAGTTTACTTGTCAGCAGGTGTGTGTCCTCCTCAAGTGTCTCCTGTGTCCTCTACATCTCCTCCTCCTCTTCCTCCTTCTGTTGTGTTCTGACTGTTGTAGCGGAACTACTTTAGCTGACAATAACCAAACACCTCAGAATGACCATCAGCCAATCAGAATCAAGCATTGAACAGTGTTTTAATGTAAGTATTAATAATGTATGCTGATTGTTTTGCAGGCCAAGCCCATCTATGGTGGATGGCTGTGTTTGGCTCCGGAGGGGACGGATTTTGACAACCCCATGCAGAGATCACGGGTAAGAGATGTGACGTTATGTGCTGCATCTGTGTGCGTTTCTATTAGGCATGGGCTAGTGTATGATTGTGACGGTTTGATAACTTTTAATAATAATATCCCACTGTTGTGATTACTGCTCTTAAATATGCTCTTTTTAAATGTCTGTGTGAAAAACACCAACGTTTCCCCCATCCAGCACAATAAATGTGATTTGAAGAAGCATGTACAATATGTTGGCGCAGTAAGCATGTCAGGCTCAATAATTCAAATGAATCTTTGACTTCTGCTGTCTTTCTTGAAAAGGCGTCTATGGAGATCTTTCCTGTGGATACGAAGTTCACATTATAATCAGCAACATGAATTTAGGAAAAGTGTTAGTTTAGCGTTGATTGAGGTCTTTGAGTAAATCTGCTGGTTGTTAATGATCTTTCCTTTAACTGCAGAAATGGCAGCGGCGATTCTTCGTCCTGTATGAGCACGGCTGCTTGCGCTTCGCTCTGGATGAATCGGTAAGCTGTCCATCTTTTATTCATTTTGATTTTATAAATGTACAACTGAATCTGGTTGAAAGTATCAGCTTTTGAAGAACTATCACAGGCCTCGAAATTAACCTTTTTGCTTGGTAAATTAAAAAATTTAGACGCACCAGCCAAAATTTAGTCGCACCCACCAACTACAAGTTTTATACGAACAGATTTATTGCATTTGAAATCAACACTTATCAAAACTAAAAAGCATATATATATATATATATATATATATATTAGGGGTGTAACGATACACTCAGCTCACGATACGATGTGTATCACGATATAATGTTCACGATTCGATATGTATCTCGATATTTGGAATAAAAATTGAAAATTAAACTGAAATGCAAATTTTATTTAAAAAAAATTTAATTACCAAGTAAACTATTTTTTATGTATTTCTTTTGTTTCAACTTGTTAAACTGAACCTTCTTTAAGGAAATAAATTAAACAGGCCTGTCTCTGGAAAATAAAACAATTAAAAAACTTCTTCTAAAATATTATTGAAATGATTCAATTCAATTGAATTTAACAGTAAGAGCTGAAGGCTTTGCTTGGTCACTTTCGTTTTTTGTGTGTGCAATCCACATTTCCAGGTAATCAGCAGCTCTATAAGATAATCCTGAACTGATGTGTGTCTGTCTGAGAGGTTTTTATGGATGGCTGTCTTCATGTTGGGCATGATGAGTGACAGGGTGGCCGTCTTTTCATTACACAGGACAGTCGTGACTCTTTTCAGCAGTTTAGGCAGGTTTACTATTTCTTCTGCGTCGCTGGTCTCGGCGCTATCAAGTGTATCATGTTGACGTGCATTTTTGTGTACCTCTGTACTCAAAAGGGTTAATGCTCGTCGTAATCATAACTCTAAAATGCGATATGATTATTTAAATAATGTGCACGCTTTCGGTTTCATTTCCACTGCTGTTCATTCTTCCCACGCGGCTCCTGAACGATCACTCTGTGCCACAAACTGAATGTTGTTTACTACTTTATTACCTGTTCGTCACAACCTGCAGGTTCTGTTCACTGAAGCAGACGCGCGTCTATCAGTCCGCCCTCTGTAGTAACAGCTCACGGTCAGCTCACGTCATGTGTGATTTTGCGGCCGCCAAAAAATTAAATCACTGTGAAGACTTTAAAACTTCGGCTATGTGTGACCCAGTATGCGTGTCAAAAAGCGGACGAGTCTAAAGCAATGACTGTACAACCGAAATGTTGCCAGACGTCTGATTTTGAGAGGATGGGCCATCCTCTATTTCAGCTCCACTCATCTTGGTCTGCTAACATTACTGCTGCTGCAATCTGAACTCACGTGCGACAGCAGGTGGAACGTAGCTCACGTGCAGACAGCTCAACTAATAAGAGAAAACGGACGTCATATCGTAATCAAATCGTCATAACGCCACCATGCATATTGAGACATTTTTGCATCGCAATAAATCGTAAAACGATAAATCTAGTGTCGTGCTACTGCACTTCCATCTCAATATACCGTCCAGATTAAATGTCTTGATGTCTCAAGCATCTGTGTGTGGCTTGCGTAGGTTGTTTCTCCAAATCTAACCAATCAGATGGGACCTTGGTGTCATTAGCCCCGCCTCTACATTAGCTGCCGTTCTTCTATTGGCTAGAGAATCTAGAGCTGAAATTAAACTCTAATGAATAGTCTGAATATCTGATGAGGTTTACAGATGTGTAACAGCGTTTTACAGTATGAATGTTTGCACCTTGACAGAAGCCTGACTTATATTTCATTAGATCTGAAAAATATTGAGTGCTTTCTGTATTTTAGTATGATTGTTGCTTGGCTTCTGCTGGTATCACATTTTATTCTTGCGATTAAATGCTGATGGTGTTTGCTGATGGTTAAATGATGACATCGGCCCAATATGGATGCATGAGACAGGAGCGCAGACAGATGCTCAAGACTGTTCTGGAGGGAATAATAATAGAGGAAGAATACAGAAGCACTGTGATGACGGACTTTTACAATCAGCACAGCAACATTTCACATCTGACACAATAGAAAGCGCTGAAAACCAACACTAATGACGCAAAGACCCTCACACACACACACACACACACATTTATGTCGGTCAATTCATTTGTCAGGATCTACAGAACTGAAGCGCAGACGCACACTCGCTACAGCTGAGTTTATATGTGTTTATTCTCGTCAGATAAAGAGTTCATCCTACTCAGTTGTGCACATACATGCTTTTATACAATATTAACAAATGTGCATAAAATAGTGTGTTGGAAACACAGCTAGTGTGTGCAGCACTCTTCATTCTGTGTGTGTGTGTGTGTGTGTGTGTGTGTGATGGTCGAGCGAGGACATTGTTTTTATTTCCAGGACAGTCTAAACTAGTTCAGGGCACTCCAGAGTTTCCGGCCTTTGTTTAGCTCTGAAACTGCTGTCAGCACTGTTGTCTTCATAGTCTTTTCATCTGTGCAGGGAGTTTGAGGAAGTGCTGTTAAATCAGGTCAAGAAAGCGGACACTAACAGTATGGACTTTATTTGTGTCACCAAAAGCGATGCGCTTAATGAGAGAGCTCTCCCAAAGATGGAAATCTGCTCGCTGTTCACTCTCACACAAGTGTTTTGAGTTTCTGTCTTCTGTTTAACACAAAAGAAGATGTTTTGAAGAATGTTGAGAACCTGTAACCATTGACTTCCATAATAGGCAAAACAAATACTGTGGAGGTCGGCGGTTGCAGGTTTTAAAATATCTTCTTTTATGTTCAACGGAGGAAGGAAACTCGTATGGTTTAAAACAAGTAAAGGGAGAATAAATGATTACATGATTTAAGCTCACCAAAAAATCTAAATCCGGTCATCATTCACTCGCCCTCAGGTTCAGAATATTGAATGAATAATGAATAGTAATGAATATTTTTATCCATTTCTCAGTCAATATAGGTCATATATTTTAGTGCATTTGAATGAAACTGATTTATTAAACTGATATATTTGTTGAAATGATATTTGTCACCAAACATCTTTAGAAATAAACAGATAATACAATTAAATTAATGCGAAATATTACAAAAAATTATTAAAAAACTAATATCAAAATAGAGAATCGTTAAAAGATGGCGATCTCGATTCGACCCCCTAGACGATCTTAATCCAGCATTTCTACGATTCTGCCAATCATATTTTCAAGTTCAGGAGCGAAGCAAAGGCGGCTGCACGAGTCTTTTCATTGTTTCACACACATTGCTCAGGGACATTGACACCTCCAAATGATGTTAAATGAGTCACATAATGTACTTGTAAGGTATAATTCACCTAAAAATGTCATTTTTGTCTTCATATAAAAGCCGGGAAAATTACATGTGACGAGCTGCTGACCGTGAGCTGTTATAGAGAGGGCGCTCTTGCGCTCTACTGAATGATAGTCGCGCGCGCGTCTACTTTAGTGAACAGAACCTGCATATGTTGCGAGTAACAGGTAATACAGTTATAAATAATATTCAGTTTGTGGCACAGAGTGATCGTTTGGGAGCCGTGCGCGAAGTATGAACAAGCACTTAGCAGTCAAAATTAAACCAAAAGTGTGCACTTCATTTAAATGATCATATTGCATTATGATTACGGCAAGCGTTTGATATGTTTTTTCTTTCATAATGAACCCACAGTTGTGCATGAAAATAAATGTTTACAGTGTCAGTATAACTACTCTAGCCTATATATTGTTGAATATAATCTGATAATGGCAAATGTCTGATTTTACCCGTGAATAAATTTGTCTAATATGACAGATTGCAAGCATATATCTCACACATCATAATTATGAGTAGAATAGAATTATTTATATAAACCAGTAAACCTACACATAATATTATTATGGTGGTTGTGCCATATGTTTGTTTTTACCATACCTTTATTTTACATCTACAGAATTGTGAGAAAATCGTGATAGTTATTTTAAGCAAAAAAATCGTGATTCCCATATAGCCAGAATCGTGCAGCTCTATATCAAAATATAAAATAATATACAAATTTAAAAATAAAAATGATTTAAAACAGGGTTTCTGCGGGGGCTTAAAGTCTTCAAGTCTAACAATAAAAAATCTAAATTTTAGGCCTTAAACAGTCTTAAATTGGCTTTTCTAGGTCTTAAATAGTTTTGCACAGGTCTTATTTTTCCGATGTCCATGTAACGCTGCATCTAGTGCTCATTTAAATTCTTTTTTGTTATTATTGCTTGATTTTCGAGGTGTTGTAGGTCTTTATTTTACTAGTTCAAATGTAATTTGCATTATTACAACTACAAATGAGACCAACATGCAACAGCCAATCAATAGCCAATTTTTTGTTATTAAACTCAGTTCGCTTTTGGTGCATGCAACCTGATTTCAGCTGGCGTAGCGCACAAAATGCTTTGAGACTGGAATGAACAGTTCACGTGGCGCTCGTTTCATTTGAGTTGAATAAGAATCACTTTAAAGAGATTTTGTACATCTTTATAATCTGTCCACGTGTGATCACAGGGAGAACCAGATAAACAATCATTCTTGGCTAGAAATTGCAGCCGTGGGAAAGGAAGAAAGTTTTTGTTAAGTTTGGAGAAACCTGAGGGATAAGTTTGTTAAAGCCAAAAGAGGTCATGGCAAATGTGGAGACTTGATTTTTTTAAATAATTTTTCCCTAACATATAATTCTGGCTGTATAGTATTTGGACTGTTATGGTAAGTTATTGAGTTAGATCAGCTCCAGGTTTGGCTTCAGTACTGACTAATCTAATGTCTATGCACAGTTATAATATTGTAAAGCATCTTGTAAAGAATATTGTAAATATTAATTCCAATGAGAGATTTGTGAGGGGTGAACTCGTATATGCTGAGCACTGTATATTTATATATATTATATTATATTTTGTGTATATATTTTGCTCTTCTATTGAACACAAATTAAGATATACTGAAAAAAACAGCACTTTTTGTTTGTTTAGTTGTTCTTATGGCTGTCA